ACTGCGTTGATGGTAGAACAGCCCTTCTTACCACCACCCTTCTTTGAGGAGCCATTATGCCCAGTCCAAGTTAGAAAGAAAAAATATTAGTAATAATAAGTTGACAGGTGGTCATTGAGAAATGTTTGAAATACCTTAAATAATTATTTAAAGGTTGGGTATGTTTTAATACATAGCCTTAAGCATGTAAAAATTGAATGTGCAAAAGTACAAATAATTTATGAGCTGATCTACAGAACACTAACAAACTAAAGGTAGTTTAAAAGTGTGTCTGTTTGTAAAATTCAAAAGTGTAGACTTTGAGACAAGGATTTAATTGGCAAAATCCACAATGTGAGGAATTCTAAAGGACATATAACTGTTTTCTACTACAAATAAATTGCAAGGGGAAAAAAAGAGGAAATCTGTTAGAAATTTGAGATGTATTAACTAAATGTGGATCTTATTTAATTTTGACAAACCAATTGAGACAATCAGGAAATTTGTCCGATATTTGACATTAAGGAATTAGTGGTTTTTAAATTATGGAAATATGTATACGTTTTAAGTGAACTTAACTTTTCAGAGATACATGTGGAAATATATACAGATTTAATGATCTGATGATAGGGATTGGCTTCAAAATTAATCCATGGGGATGAAGGATAGAAGTTTTAGCTGAAGTTGGATTAGTCAAGAGTTGCTAGTTGTTGAAGTTGCTTGATGGTTATGTGAGAGTTTGTTATACATTAGTTTGTATCTGAAATTTTTTATTTAGAAAGAGTCCAAGATAAATAACAGAATAATGGGCCAAGATCAGGACAGTTTATATTGTTTCATGAAGTTGGCGTGGCCAGTGGTGTTCAGTGGTTAGAGTTTTGGCCTGCACACTGGATGATCTTGGGTTTGATTTTCAGTCAAGGGTACATACATGGGTTGCAGGTCAGATTCCCATCCCTTCTACTTTCTTTTTTTTTTTTTTTAAATATATATTTTATTGATCCTTTTACAGAGAGAAAGGGAGAGAGATAGAGAGCTAGAAACGTCGATGAGAGAGAAACATCCACCAGCTGCCTCTTGCACACCCCCTACTGGGGATGTGCCCGCAACCAACATACATGCCCTTGACCGGAATCGAACCTGGGACCTTTCAGTCCGCAGACCGTCGCTCTACCACTGAGCCAAACCAGTTTCAGCCCCACCCCTTCTACTTTCATTGTTATTCCTTTAAATCAGTGTTTCCCAAACTGTTGACATATGTGTACCCCTTCTATAATTTTTGTATCTGAGTACCCCTCGTACTCATGAGAACGTCGAATTAGGCTCAGCTAAGCACGGTGCAGTGCATATCCCCATCAAACTCCGGTGCAATGTGTACCCTCACCAAATTCTTCCGTACCCCTGGGGGTACACGTACCACACTTTGGGAAACACTGTTCTAAATGTCACTATGTCTTGATAATCTTCCTTGTTACATTCCAATTAGTTTTCTTTTACCTCATAGTACACATTTATTGCATCTTGCAATGTTGGCTTGTATCACAATCATTGCTAAATTTGTAATTATTTAATGTTTGCTTGTTTTGCAAGATTTTAAGCTCTATGAAAAAAGGAATGGACTTCATGTAGCTCACTACTGAAATTCCAGGTCTCAACTCAATGACTTTATGAAAAAAGAAATTTGTAATTGGGGAAAAAAATATATTTGTTAAATTGAAGGGGTAGGGGAAGGAGAATTCAGGAGTTCATGGAGGATTGAAAGCTTGTCTGAAATCTGCCAAAATGCACAAAACTTATTTCTGTTTCAGAGATAATCTGGTTTAACACAAAAAGGTTAAGTGTTCATTCTTCAGAGTATAGGGATGAATTGGCAGTTTAGAATTGGCTCTGGCACATTTGTTTCCTATTACTACAAACCTATAAGAAGCTGATGCAACCTAGTTAGAGTGACAAATACAAACTGTTGTGTGTTTTATTTTTTTAATTTTATTTATTTATTTATTTTTAATTTTTTAAATATATTTTATTGATTTTGTACAGAGAGGAAGGAAGAGAGCTAGGGAGTTAGAAACATCGATGAGAGGGAGTCATCGATCAGCTGCCTCTTGCACACCCCCTACTGGAGATGTGCCCGCAACCAAGGTACATGCCCTTGACCGGAATCGAACCCGGGACCTTTCAGTCCCCAAGCCAACACTCTATCCATTGAGCCAAACCGGTTTCGGCTATTTTTTAATTAAAAACAATTTTTTTTTACCCATTCTCATCTGAGTTTTGTTTTCCAACTATAAAACATATGGGATATTTCCTCCATCTTTAAATTTTGGTGGAGGGGGAGTAATGTCATTGAAATTATGGCTGAACACAATGTCTATTCTAATATAACCACTTGGGTTTTACTATTTAGAGTCGAACTTCCTTTCAGATGACTATGAAACCCAACCCTCAAGAAACACAGGATTCTGTTGCTAACTGAAAACACCTACTTCCTGAATTAGTTTGCCTCAGGGTTTTTTCTTTTCTTTTTACTTCTCTTTTCCTGTCCCCTTTTATATCTTTTATGATATGGAACTTAAATCCAAAGTTATATGTATTTTATTTTTTTAAATATATTTTTATTGATTTCAGATAGGAAGGGGGAGGGGGGAGAGAGAGAGAGAGAGAGAGAGAGAGAGAGAGAGAGAGAGAGAGAGAGAGAGAGAGAGAGAGAGCGCGCGCGCGAGCGCGCGAGCGCGCGCGAGAGAGAAACATCAATGATATGAATCTGGGACCCTTCAGTCTGCAGGCTGATTCTATCCACTGAGCCCAACCAGCGAGGGCTAAACATTGTTCTAATACACATACTATACTTTGCAGTTATGATTACATCATTTTATGAATACATCCTGTGAGGAAGATGCTGCTGTCATTTTTAGAAGTCAGTTTACATTGTCAGACTGTATACATTTTTTAAAAAGCGAGAACTTGGTTTCAATTTGTCTTCCTGCTCTTTCCCCTATTTGTTTCACACTGCTCTTGAGCTAAGTAGTGAATGTTGGTATCTATATTTTTTTATGTGACTTTCAGAAATGCCAAGATTTTCTGTTGTCCTATCTAGCAGCTATATGCTCTGATGTTTAGGGATATCAGTTTTACTTACTGTATTCTATTAGTTTTATAAGGCATCTAAAGAATCTGGAAATTACAGAATTTAGATGCCTGACTGGATTGGACTAGAAGTAGGCTTGCAGCCAACATGGAAACAGATAATTGTACTTAAAAATGAAAGTATCGCCGAAACTGGTTTGGCTTAGTGGATAGAGCGTCGGCCTGCGGACTAAAAGGTCCCAGGTTCAATTCCGGTCAATGTCATGTACCTTGGTTGTGGGCACGTCCCCAGTAGGGAATGTGCAAGAGGCAGCTAATCGATGAATCTCTCTCATCGATGTTTCTAACTCTCTCTTCCTCTCTGTAAAAAATCAATAAAAAATATATATTTTTTAAAATGAAAGTATCTTTTAAAAAAGTATCCTAAGTTTTGGGCAGTGGCAGTATGGTAGCCAATGAGGTTTATCCAATGGCGAGATTATTGCTTAAAAAAAAAAAAAAGTATCTTGTCCTAGCTGGTTTGACTCAGCAGATAGAGCGTCGGCCTGTGACTGAAAGGTCCCATATTTGATTCCGGTCAAAGGCACATGTCCAGGTTGCAGGCTCAATTCCTAGTAGGGGGCGTGCAGGAGGCACCCAATCCATGATTCTTATCATTGATGTTTTCTTTTTTCATTGAAGTTTTCTCTCTCTCTCTCCCTCTCTCTCTCTCTCTCTCTCTCTGAAATTATTAAAAATATATTATAAAAAGTATCTTTATAGCTTTTGCTGATTCCATCAAGATTACATAATTGTGTAATACGGGACTCTACCTGTGAACGACTTTCATGCACTGGGCCTCTAGTTTAGTATAAATGTTGCTGCTATAGACACACACACACACAAGACATGAAGACAGACAGGTAGAACCCCATATGATTACAGAGGTAGAGACTAGAGTGATGCATCTACAAGCTAAGAACACCAATGATTGCCAACAACACCAGAAGCTAAGAGAAGGCACAAGACACATCCTTTGGAGGAAGCATGGCATTGCTGACAACTTAATTTTAGTCTTCTAGCTTATATAACAGTGAGAAAATATATTTCTGTTGTTTTATGTCACCCAGTTTGGGATACCTTGTTATGGCAGCCCTGGGAAGATAATACAAACTCCATAAAAATAAAACATTGGCTCAGAAAAAGAATCAACTCAAGCCGAAACCGGTTTGGCTCAATGGATAGAGCATCGGCTTGGGGACTGAAGGGACCCGGGTTCGATTCTGGTCAAGGGCATGTACCTTAGTTGCGGGTGTATCCCCAGTAGGGGATGTGCAAGAGGCAGCTGATCGATGACTCTCTCTCATCGATGTTTCTGGCTTTCTATCTCTCTCCCTTCCTCTCTGTACAAAATCAATAAAATATATTTAAAAAAAAATCAACTCAAGCGAAAATGAAATGACTGAGTTCTAGCAATGGTGGGTGAAAAGATTGGCAAATCATCTTTCCCCAAAACAACTATAAAACTGAATACAATGCTTACTGCAAAACAATTATTTCAGAGCTTTGGAATAGACCAAAGGCATACAACAAATGTGAGGAGCATTTATTTAGTAAAAAATTGCTGAACTTTGGGTAAGAATAGTCAGAGTCTAGTTTTGCTTTAACATGATAACCTGTGGCCATTATCATTCTAAAAGTTTTCATTCCAAAAATATTTAAACACACAAATTGCACATGAGGATATTCTCATTGCAAATAGCAAAATGAATTAAATGAAACTACACATTGATTCCCTATCCTCTAATCTCATCTCTCTCTCTTGACATTACTGTATCTATATAGAAGCAAATAATTTGGCTTGTTATTGTTTTGATATTTAAGTAGTCATATTAAATAAACATTTTTAAAATGTTTTTAAATCTTGGGATTTCACTCAGTTTATTTCCTTTTAGGAGGCGCAGGTCAGAATGGAGATGGGCTGCAGACCGCGCGGCTATTGTCAGCCGTTGGAACTGGCTTCAGGCTCATGTTTCAGACTTGGAATATCGAATTCGGCAGCAAACAGATATTTACAAACAGATACGTGCTAATAAGGTAAGGGATAAGTGTCTGGTCTTTTTCAGTCCAGCTAAAAACTACCATTATACCTTTTTTCCTATCCCTCGATGACTTAACTATGTCCAAGAGAATGGTTTAATATGATCTGATACAGTGGTTTAATTTGTTTAAGAGCCTGATGTTGCTTAGTGGAGTGCAGATAATAGATACATTCTGGTTTTCTCTGTAACTAAGCTTCCCTTGTTTTCTTGCAGCAAAATAGGGTCTTTCCTGAAAAGTTGTTCAGGCAGAATTAGACACTGACGGTTAAGATTTTTATTTTCCTGTGCCCTCCTATCTACAGAGAGCTGATTATTAGTGCACACTTTTATCTTTGGCAGCGACACTGTGTGCAGTTTTTCTTCTTAAATTCAACTTAGAAGAATTCTCTGCTCAGTTTGGCTTTGATTGAGGGATAAGTGTCCATGGAATATAAATCCATTCAACAAATAGTTGAGTGCCTACTGTATACCAAGCCCTGTTCTCCTTAGTGAGGTTACAGTGGTAAATAAAAATTCTACTTTTGTGAAAATTAAATTCTTGGCAGGGTATTTTTTTTTTTTTTTTTTTTTGTATTCGTTTGTTGCACACATGGGTCTAGATCAGCGGTCACCAACCTCTGGTCCTCCCTCCAGCCGGTCCCTCCCACAGTTTCCTCCTGGCCAGGTGGTCCATGAGGTCTAAAAGGGTGGCGACTGCTGGTCTAGATGAAGAACCTACTGCTCCTAAAAATAAGTGTCATGACATGTTTTTGTCTTGTCTTAGTGCTGGTCAAAGCCCTCAGAAGACTGCTGTGCTGTGACCTCTGTGCATTAAATTAATGAAGGCCAAAAGTTAAAGGATGACCAATTGACAAGATATTAACAAAATGATGAGAGTTTGAAGTAAAAGTTTTATAGCCCCTCAACCCCTTTACGTTTTTATTTTTTAAATTCCACTTCCAGCTTCTTTCCAAACGGTCTATATATAATTCTCCAAAAGTTCAGTAAGGCATGTTATATTGGCCGGCACCGATTTGGCTCAGTGGTAGAGCATCGGCTTGCGGACTGAAAGGTCCTGGGTTCGATTCTGGTCAAGGGCATGTGCCTTGGTTGCGGGCACATCCACGGTGGGGGGTGTGCAGGAGGCGGCTGGTCGGTGACACTCTCTCATCGATGTTTCTGACTCTCTATCCCTCTCTCTTCCTCTCTGTGAAAAATCAATAAAATATTATATATATTAAAAAAAAAAGACGTTATATTGAGGGCAAAGTCCAGAGTACTTACCTTTTTAAAAAAAATTTATTCCTTTAGAATAAAGAACAAATAAAATCCTGACTAGTTTAAAAATTAGTTGGAGCAAATGAAGAGTTAAAACTAAAACTACTCCCTAAGAGTGGCGAACATTTTGCTTTCTTTTGCTCTTCACAAGGGAGATTCAATGAGATTGTATAACATGAGCTGGAATGGTGGTAGAAATGACTGGCGGTGCCTATCCTGAATTAAAAAAAAAAAGTTTTGCATGGTCAGGAACTTTACAGTAGTCTGTTTATAGCCAGTAGTTAAGTCGGAACTTCCATATTTGAGAATAAGAGTCTCTTAGTAACAACTGAGATTAGTACAATGGTAATCATATTTGTTGCCTTTTTTATATATATGTTCATAAATATGTGTGTTTATATGTATGCATATGCTTTGCTAGTTGTTCCCCATTATAAAATTACTATATTTCATATACTTGAAGATGCTACTAATTGTAAGATGCAACATTAATTTGTGTGCCATTAAAAAATGATTTCAATTAAACCAAGACATGTCATCAATTGTTAAGATACATTCTGATTTAAAAGATGTTAAGATATGGGAAAATATGCCTTAGAATTGATGAAAAACTGTGTTATCAATTCTTAGGAAACTTGCAAAATATAGGGAAGTATGAAAGAGGAAAGGGGAGGGCACCTTTCTCTTTAAAAAATTTTTAAAGTAAGACTTTATTTCTATTTAAAAATTCTCCAGATATTATAAAAAGGCCGGATATAAGATCCTACTGAGTTGTATCTGTTGATTTTCCCATTACTAAGGTATCAGTTTGATTCTTGTTAATGAAACACCCCCATGATACTTCTTAGTGTCGTGGTGATTTCCTCTTTCCCCCCGTATTTTTTCATAAATGGACATCAGCTCACAAATATCAAAAAATGTATTGCATTATTCTTGAAAACCAAGTCCAATGATTAGCAGTTTGAGTAGCTGAGATCATGATGTGTGTCTTGAGCAAAGACTGGTATTAAATGCAGCTTTTTCAGAACAGAAACCAGTGAACACCCTTCAAGACGAAACACCCCTCTCTCTCAGTTTTGCTGTAACCTAAAACTACTCTTTAAAAAAAGTCTTACAAAGACATCCCAAAAACAAAACCTATACTCAACATTTGGGCATGTTTTAGTTCACTGTTGCTTTCTATGCATATAAATAATTTCTTTAAATACAGTCATTTACATTTTTGTTATTTTTGGATGATATTTTTACTGACTATATTTTATTGCCCTTCTTGGTTGATTATTTCATTAATGTACAGGCATACCTCAGAGATACCACGGGCTCGTTATAAACTACCTCAGTAAAATGGAGGGTCTTCTTGCTTTTACTTTGTAAAAACTTCAATATTTGTGAACTGCAATAAAACTAGGTATGCCTGTATTATTAAGCATGCACAATAAACATTTTCACCTATGTCACAGTATGAATATTTTTATGTTCTTTATGCATGCTTGAAAGAAGTTTTTTGACTCGGTTTACAGTCTCATTAGCTATGTAAGAAGATAGTCTTTCTTCATTTTTGGTTCCTTCTTCATTCTTTAGCTCATAATTCAGTTGTAATGACAGAGCAGTTTTGGGAAACTTGCAAAAGTCTTAAATATTTCTAAGTATCTGGAAAGTAATTGTTTGGGAATTTTGTGTATATGTTTATTATCCAAGAGTTTTGTCATGAAGGGCATAATATATTAAAGAAGCACCAGACTTCGACTTGGTAATCTTTGGTTCTATTCCTGCCTTTGCTACTATTATATATACTAGAGGCCTGGTGCATGAAATTCGTGCACAGGGCCAGGGGTGTGTGTGTGTGTGTGCGTGTGTATGTGTGTGTGTTGTTCCTCGGCCCAGCCTGCACCCTCTCCAATCTGGGACCCCTCAAGGGATGTTTGACTGCCCATTTAGGCCCGATCTCACCAGCATCGGGCCTAAATGGGCAGTCGAATATCCCTCTCACTATCCAGGACTGCTGACTCCCAACTGCTCGCCTTCCTGCCTTCCTGATTGCCCCTAACCACTTCTGCCTGCCAGCCTGATCACCCCTTAACCACTCCCATGCCAGCCTGATTGATGTCTAACTGCTCCCCTGCCAGCCGTTTGCCCCTAACTGCCCTCCCCTGCAGGGTTGATCGCCCCCAACTGCCTTCCCCTGCTTGCCTGATCGCCTACAACTGCCCTCCCTTGCAGGCCTGGTCCCTCTCAACTGCCCTCACTTGCAGGTCTGGTGCATCCCTACTTGCCTGATCACCCACAACTGCCCTCTCTTGCAAGCCTGGTCCCTCCCAGCTGCCTTGCTCTGCTTGCCATCTTGTGTCCACATGGGGGCAGGATTTTTGACCATATGGGGACAGCCATATTGCGTGTTGGAGTGATGGTCAATCTGCATATTACTCTTTTATTAAATAGGATAGAGGACTGGTGTATGGGTGGGGGCCAACTGGTTTGCCCTGAAGGGTGTCCTGGATTAGGGGGCAGCCTGAGCTAGGGCCCCTTGGTGGTTTGTAGGCCAGCCACACACCCACCGACCCAGGCAGAGGCCCTGGTATCTGATATATTTACTTTCTACAATTGAAACTTTGTAGCCTGGAGTGGAGCCAAGCCTCCTGCTTGCTCAGTGGCAGCAGCTGTTTCTGTTTGGATTTGTTTACCTTCTATAATTGAAACTTTGTAGCCTTGAGTGGAGGCTTAGGCCAGCAAGGGCAGGCAGGTATGGTCTTAAATCCAGATTAGGTAAATTCTGTTTCTTGTTTCCTGGGAAAAACAGATGTTAAATGGAGGTAAAAATTTTCCTTGTCCTTAATGCCCCTCCCCCCTTTCATCTCCATGGAAATTTTTGAGTTAGAAAGGACCTCAGGGATAAATCATTGGTTCATTGGCTCACAAGAAAGAGCCTGCCAATTATGATGGCTTAGGGAGGCCAAATTGATGCAGTCAAAATCACTAGGACCTGAAATGTGTATTTTAAGATGTTATCTGGAGAATTCTGATGCTGTATCAAGACTGATCAAGTTTTTTTCTTTGTTTTATTTTGTTTTTTAGTTTAGAGTTTATGTTAGGGAAGCTATTTAAAAATTCAGCCCTCTTCCCTAGAGATTCTGAATAGACTTGATATCGGACCTGGGTAGGTATCATTTGTTAAGTTTCCCCAGGTAATTTAATACAAAATTTTTGTTAAGGTCTTCTTATCAGTTAGATTTTTTTCGTTTTCTAGACCAGAGAAAGAACCAAAACTACAAAGCCCTGATCATTTTCATCAGTCTTTCTTTTACACAACAATATAACCTGATTTTGGTCAACTTTACTTGAATTCATAGGAGGAGGATTCATGTGTGTGGTTTTTTGTTTTTGTTTTTGTTTGTTTATTTTTCATAGTAAGCTAACTTATGCTTTCACCAAGCTGAACCCATGCTGATTATTGAGAGGATTTTAGTGTCATGTAAATTGGGTCTTTTCACATGTTTTGTTTTTTAATTTCCTGGAATGAATTTATTTTCTAAATTTGAATTGTCATGCAGGAAACTAATCTGGAGTAATATTTATGCTTATGCGAAACAAGTGCTTTCGGAATACCTTTTTTTTTTTTTTTTTTTTTTTTTTTAATAGTTCTTGGTTTCTATTATAGGAACTGTTCCACCTTTTTTTCATTTAGTAGTTTTGGTTGCTCGTGATTTATTATAGCTCATCCTATATAATAAAAGCGGGATATGCCAAGTGTCCAGTCATCTGGTTGGCCATTCAACCAATCAAAGTGTAATATGCTAATGATGTGCTAATGGCTCTCAACCACTCACTATGACATGTACTGTCTACCAGGGGACAGACACTCCAATTGGTAGGTTAGCTTGCTGCTGGGGTCTAGTCTGAGCAAGATAGGCTGGACATGCCCTGGAGCCTTCCCATGGTCCCTCCCTGGCCCCGATTGTGCACTGGTGGAGTCCATGGGTTTGGCTTGTGTCCTCTTGCAATCCAGGACCCCTCGCTGGATGTCTGAGTGCTGGTTTCAGCCTGATTCTGCAGGCTAGGCCTACGGACCCCACCGGTGCACAAATTCATGCACTAGGCCTGTGGTTATTTATAACTGTAGCACTTCTAGTTTGATAATACCTAAAGCCACATTTGTGATCAAGTAAACTAAAAAGGCTGCATTGCTGCTGTTAAAACAGTATAATTTGGTTAGTAATATCATGTAAAGTACCATATACTGTGATAAAGATTCCAGATCTAAAAGATGCTAAATGGTAATAAGCCATGTAGGCTAAAACATTCTAATGGAAGAAAGCAGAAGCTTGGGTCTAAGTCTCAGACCTTACAGCTAGGCTTTTGTGGAAATAACTCTTGGGAAAGCATAGCATGAGGGAAAAGGCCTCTGGTAAAGCAGCCCCCTTCTCCTAACCCTTTTGATATTAACTTTTAAATTAAATTTGTAACTTTTAATACCACTCACTTGTGCTGTTTTTTTCTCTGTTTTTTAGGGGTTGGTAGTTCTTGGAGAGGTGCCTCCTCCAGAGAATGCAACAGCAGACTTAGTTCTTAGTTCTGAGGTGAAGACAGATCATGGGAATGATAAATTTGTAAGTATAAATACAGAAAGGGGGAAATGAATGCCTATTTGGGGTGTAGCATGAACACACAATTTATTCTATTAGAAGGATCCTTGCATTGGCTGGAAGAAGGATAGTTTATCCCCTTTTATCTTTTCACCATTTAAATATCTGAATTCCTGAATATGGCAGGACATAGCTTCTCCTGCTGTTGTGTAGCTGACTTTAAGAGTTCAAAATTAGCCGAAACCGGTTTGGCTCAGTAGATAGAGCATCGGTCTGCTGACTGAAAGGTCCCAAGTTTGGTTCCGGTCAAGGGCATGTACAGTATATTGGTTGTGGGCACATCCCCGGTAGGGGGTGTGCAGGAGGCAGCTGGTTGATGATTCTCTCTCACCGATGCTCTCCTTTCCTCTCTGTGAAAATCAATAAAATAAAAAAATAAAAAGAGTTCAAAATTATCTCTTAACTCAAGACAACACTCAGCCAGAGCATTGAGGCATTAGGGAGCGTTACTGGGAATCAGGAAAACATGTGGCTCTGGCATATTTGACAAGAAAGAAAGGAACCTTTTTGGGCCACTATAAAATTAAAGGTTGGACTGGAGGTTTAATTCACATGCTGCATGTCCACTCTGGGTTATCCCTTTTTAATTCAGTAACAAGGATAATGCTGTCATTTTCTGTAATCTTCTGGGTCCAGTTTCTCTCAGCACCAAGGTTAATTTCTTTTCATTTTGACTTCCAAGAACACTTTTTGTTTCCTTCACTTTTTTACTTCTCTCAGAATGTCACTGGTTTTTATGAATATTTGCATTTCTTGATTTAAGTAATTTGTTAGAAATTCCAAAGTCCCATGACAATTATTTGGGAGGCTAGTAAGCAGGGCCGGCTCTATAAATTGTGGGTTAAACTAGCTTGTCTTCTTTCATCTGCAGATCAGCAAAGCTTGTTATCCTTTATCATTGTCATTGTTAGCAGGAACTCATATGATATGATGTAAACTAACTTTCCCAATGAGAGTGCTTAAATAAAGTCAGCCACTAATAATAGGAGTAAATGCAAAGACATTTAGAGTTTGGTTGATGGTTCTTAACTGGAAAGTAGTTTTAAATAAATTAAAGAGCAGATGGAGGAGGGGAGGGTGACGTATATGATATTTTCAATAATAAAGATTTAATAAAATAAAAAAGTAGAATGCCAAAATTTGCCACTAGTCAATCTACAGAATATTTTTTTAAAAAAGTTATTTGTGTACGTATTCTAGTGATTGATCTAACCAGGATAAAACTTAGATGAGAGAGATGAGAGAGAACATATTAGTGTCTTGGAAGGTCAGCTGGTTGTATGTTATTTATTGGAAACATGAGACTTGAAGCATATGTGATTGGGAATTAGTTTTGCCTAGACATGTATATATTTGTGTATACTATATAAAGATTCCAAAATTTTTCTGGTGTTCTCTTGTACTCAGCACTTGTGAGGATAACATATAACAGTGTCATTGTGTTATTCATTCTCATTGTTATATTTATACACATTCACATATGTGCACATGTGTGCTCCATTTATGGACTTGTCCCTTTTCCTACCTCATCACTCACTTGCATGTGTATGATCCATATTAGATTGTAAGATTCTTGATGATCAAGACTATCTTCTTCATTGTTGTTGACCACAGTAGTTTCTACATTGTACAATAGATTGCTTTTTGATTCATTAAAATTGATAATAAATATGAAAACAAGTATACACTGTCACTCTGTCTTCATGGAGAGGTTAATCTTTAGAAAATGCCTTTCTGGAGAAATGCATACAGAAGGCATTAATTACATTTCCATTTTATTGCAGCGATCTTCAACTGTTGTACCCCAAGAAATTTTTTAATTGCTATTTTAAAATTATTTTTTATGTATTTTTATTGATTTCAGAGAGAAAGTGAAATGGGGAGAGAGATAGAAACATCAGTGACGAGAGAGAATCATTGATCGGCTGCCTCTTGCATGTCCCCACGCTGGGGATCAAGCCTGCAACCCGTGCATGTGCCCTGACTGGGCATTGAACTTCAACCTCCTTGTTCATAAGTTGATGCTCAAGTACTGAGCCACCCCAGCGAGGCAATTCCTTTTTTAAAATGCCAAATATTTGCCAAGCATGCCTAATATGTCAATTGCTACACAGTTTTTCATTGTAGGAGGGCACAGTTTAATTTTCCTTTTTGTTATCCAAATTGGTTGGTTGTTTTTTTTAAAGTGATTTGTACCTTGACTTCTCAATTTTGCTTTAAAAAAATGTTAGGTCACATTTGGCAGGGGCAGTTGTAAATTTTCAGTCACATTTAACGTCCCTAGTCTCCTTTCCCCTTACCCCCTCTAAAATAGAACTATATATTACTTCCTTCCTCCCCAGTTTGAAGACTTGTCATTTAAAAATATTGTCAAAGGTACTTTTTGTTTTGTTGTGTTGCTTTTTGTATTTTCATTTCTGAAACTCACTGGGATTAACAACAATAACAAAAAAATCCCAGAATTTTTTTTAAACTGTCAAAATATAGTTTCAAGAAGTTAGACATAATTCTCAAAGAAATACATAGTAATTGATTAAGGTGGGAATGTTGGCATAACTGGTAATAGTATGTTGGTATAGATACTGATTTGTATATGTAATTATTGAAAGGGAGAGTGCTGAAAATAAGATTACTCAGTAGCATACAAACTTTATTAATATCCTGCAGACTACTAGAGCCATAACCTTTGGTGTTATGTTTTTACCTAAACACAAACCAGCCCTCTCCTTTTTGGCTCAGTGGATAGAGTGTGAGCCTGCAGACCAAATGGTCCTGGGTTAGATTCAGGTCAAGGGCATATACCTTGGTTACAGGTTCCTCCCCAGGCCTTAGGCCTGATTGGGGCTTTTGCAGAAGTAGCCAATTGATGTGTTTCTCTCACATTGATATTTTACTTTGTCTTTCCCTCTCTTTTCCACTCTTCCTAAAAATCAATGGGGAAAAGTATCCTCAGGTGAGAATTAAAAAACAAACACAAATTCATTTTAGCTTATTAATATTTTAAATAAAGAGTAAGTAAAACAGAGAAACCAAGATAGCGAAATAGGTAAACATCTGAACTTTGCTGCCTCGTACAACAGCTTCTAAACTACAATTAAAAGACAAAACAGCCGTCATCCAGAACCACAGAAAGGCTGGCTGAGTGGAAATTCTACAACTAGAAGGAAAGAGAAAAGCTCACTGAGACTCAGAAGAGCTGTGGAAGTAAAGTGCAGAAGTACAGAGGCACACATGCGTGGGAAGGGCTGGCAGCTGAGTAGGTGGCTATCTTTTTCAATTGGGAGGGAGACACAAGCTCCCGCCTGCTCTGAACTCCAGATCCAGGCGAGATTCTGGGGACCCAGACTCATACAGGGAGAAACTGGACTGTCTGGCAGTGGGTGGAACTTGAGGGTGGCTTTCTCTCAGAGGTGCTTGCAATGATTACTGCGGGACACTGAGACCCTGAGGCTTTTTAGGGCAGGGCTGATGGGAAGCCATTGCTATTTATTCCACCCTTAGACTCCACCCCATCCAAGCTATGTGCAGATGTCTTTGCATATGAATGGCCTGGTCCTTTGAAATCTAAAATTACCTAACAAACTGCAGCTGAGTCAGAGAGGCCCAGAACATCCGAAATAAGACCCAGGGCCCCACAGTAGCTTGCATTGCTTCACAGCTGGGCCTCATCTGGGTACCTCCAAAACACAAACAAAGAAGAGGAATCTGCAGATCTTTCCATAGCTCCTGCAGGGTGTTCTCAGGCAGAAGCTAAATTAGCACCTCCTAAGAGATCTAAAATCCAGTGTACCCATGGGTCAGAGTAGGACCATCCAGATTACAACACTCAGGGGGCAGACTCAGTGAGCACCAAGGCTTGCCTCATAAGGGTGTCTCCAACACAGAAGTTCTCCCAGCTGATCTTCAGCCAATTGGCCTGGAGGTCAATTCCTCCCAGTAATATCAAAAACAAATAAGGCTTAGCTACAACAAGACTTTGGAGGCACAGCCCACAAAGGGGTGCACCAAGAGTGTCCACCTCTGGTAACTGGGGAGGCTGAGCCACTGGGCCCTATAGGACACCTAGCACACAAACCATTCTATCATCAACTCAGGGAAGCATCCAAAATGCAGAGACAAAGGAACAGGTCACAAATGACAAAATTGGAGGAAAGCAAACTACTGGATATAGAGTTCAAAACCACGGTCATAAGGTTTTTCAAGAATTTTGTAAGACTCTTGAGGATATAATAAAGGACCAACTAGAAATTAAGCACACACTGACTAAAATAAAAAATAATATACAGAGATCCAATAGCAGACTAGAGGATCGCAAGAATCCTGTCAAAGATTTGAAATACAAAGAAGCAAAAAACACGCAACCGGTAAAGCAAAAAGAAAAAAGAATCTAAAATATGAAGATAGTGTAAAGAGCCGCTGGGACAACTTCAAGTGTACCAACATCAGAATTATGGGAGTGCCAGAAGGAGAGAGAGCAAGATATTGAAAACCTATTTGAAGAAATAATGACTGAAAACTTGTGAAAGAAATAGACTTATAAGCTCAGGAAGTGTAGAGAACTCCAAACAAAAAGAATCCAAAGAGGACCACACCAAGACACATCACAATTAAAATGCCAAGAGCAAAAGACAGAGAATATTAAAAGCAGCAAGAGAAAAACAGTAACCTCCAAGGGAACACCCATACCATTGTCAGCTGATTTCTCAACAGAAACTTCACATACTAGACCTGTGAAGACGAGAGTGGCAAGAAATATTCAAAGTGATGAATTGCAAGAACCTACAACCAAGATTACCCAGCAAAGCTATCATTCAGAATTGAAGGTCAGATAAAGAGCTTCACAGATAAGAAAAAGCTAAAGGAGTTCACCACCACCAAACCAGTATTATACGAAATGCTGAAATGTATTCTTTAAGAAGAGGAAGAAGAAGAAAAAAAGATAAAAATTATGAACAACAAATACA